GGCCTACCTAAGTTTAAAATATTAGCAAAATCAAATTTTCGACCCTTGCCGCGGATTTGCCAAAATGTCTGATTTTTGCTGACAACCACTCTTAAATAGTACCGGGTACGAGGGACGAGCAGAATATGGGTCTAATACATGCCGTACCCACAATGGACGGGGATGTCGGTATGGTTATTCAAAAAATGAGTATTTTGGTCAATGGGGAATGGGGAACAGTGTGTTCTTATTATGGTTCTTCCTATTACTTTGATATGCCTGATGCAAAGGTCGCATGCCGTCAACTTGGTTTTACCAAAACTGTAGGTTTTTGGTGGTATGGACGAGGGACGGGCAAAGTATGGCTGTACAACATGCAGTGTTGAGGCACAGAGTCCTCACTTGGAAGCTGTACTCACAATGGATGGGGAAGTGTTAGCTCTTACTGCAACGGTCACACATATGATGTTGGTGTTGTGTTGGTATCGTTTGAAACCTTATCGCACTGTATTAATGAAGCTCTATCATAGCTAAAAAGGGGATTTTCTACATAGTCACGGCGATGGGGAAAGTGTTTACTTTCTTATTGCGGCTTTCCAGAGGTTTAGAATCTATTTTAGGAAAAAAATTGTAAGTTTTTTTTAGCCTTTCATATCTTTATCACGGTATATCGACACTTACGTTCCATTTTTCCATTATATACTTCTTGTGAACCGCCACTTGAAACCTGTTTAGAGTAAATTCAGTCCTCTTTAGAGCCGTGTAAGATCGAAAGAATGGTAATCAATGTAATCAACGTTATTTGAGTAAAGAAAAGCAAGGAGCGAGTGTCACAAGTTTCTGCAGCTAAACCACAGTTGGTGCAAGACAACAATAGGAAACAGTTTGCCCCGGTGGCTATGTTTTAAGGGACCTGCAAAGGTTGTAAGATCTTTTTTCATAGGTAGTAAACTAATTATTTCCTCACAAAGACAAACAAATCTCAGCTTCTTCAAGGCATAGCTTAACTAATCACAGATTGAGTTATGATTGGCATTAAAGATCATTATACAAGTCTACCACAGTGGTCAATGGGGAACAATTTATCAATATGGTTGGTTTGATATGAGAGATGCAAAGGTTGCATGTCGACAACTTGGTTATTCCAAAGCTGTAGGATATTGGTACTATGGACGTGGTACGGGTAAAGTATGGCTGGATTACATGGGATGTACAGGCTCAGAATCTTCACTTGGAAGTTGTTCTCACGGCGGGTGGGGAAGCGTTGACTCTAGGTGCAACGGTCACACATGGGATGTTGGTGTGCCATTATATGAGCTTACACAAAACATATATAAATATCATGAATTCTCTTACCTTTCAGTGATCTCAGTTGTTGGAACTGTTCACATTCGTATTTTATGCTGGAGGTCAATCAAAGCATTGGTTGTTTTTGAATAACTGATTAGTTTGTGCTTCCTTGCACCTGAATATGGCTCGTTTTGGATGGGGAAACGTATGAATGAATGAAACCTTTATTTAAAAAARATAACACCAGGGTAGTTCCTTCAGAACTAATAAAAAGCTCTGCCATCAATGGGAGCCCTGGCATAAAATACAAGTACAAATAAATAGAAATACTTATAAGGGTAAGGTAAGGTCAACTTTATTTACACACGCTAGCCTAAATCGACAAATGCTGGTTTCCATTAGGGGCGTGCCGCAATAGAAACGCTTTAAAACATATACATAAAAAACTAATA